GGTGCACACCTTTGATCCCAGCACTTGAGAGGCAGGAGCAGGCAGATCTCTGGTCTACATAGCAAGTTCCAGGCCGGCAGGAATAATAATGAGACCCACAAAACCCTTTTAAAACATGCAAACAACTCATTGTTGTCCCTTAAAAACTTAAATAATGCTATTATAATGGTCAACAAATCCAAATATATATTTAGCCTTAAAAGGAGGGCTTTAGGAATTTAACTGCACAAATATTTAGAGGAAATTCCTTTTTTGAAGAAACAAGAAACAGCACAGTACTGTTTGTAAGGGTTCAAGGGTCTTGAAGTAGTGGGCATTGCCACATGAGTGAGTCTCTAGTGAGTTAAACATCTAAACAACCCAGGAATGGGCAGGCAGCCAAGGCAGCCTGCAAAAGTACGCTGTCTAGGTTTCAGTGAGTCTAATAGTCAAGTAAGCATCATTGTAAATAATAAAAAGAAGCCCTGGTGAGAAACCTTCCCCAGGCATTCTGGGTAAAATCCAAGATGCACGTTACATCATAAAGCACCCATGTTTCCTAGACGCTGTACCATCAGGAGTCACCCCAGCATCAGCAGTAAGCTGTACAGGCTTTTGCATGGCTTTGACTAACCCAGGTAACAATTTCACTAATGAACATTTGATCCAAAGAAAACCCCTGACTGCTGGGGGAACACCCTCCACTACCTCAGTTCTCTTCCACCATGAAGTCAACACATTTCCACGAGGTTTGCATTCTGCGTTTTTAAAGCCATATTATAAAATGGCATCTGGCAAGCTAACAGGGAAACATGCCAGGCATTTTCAATAGCCGATCATCCCGACCCATGTTTCCTTCAGTAAATAGGAAGGTTCAGAAACACTGGGAGAGGTGGCTTTTCTATTCATGAGGTGATCTTTTTAAACCTTCGCGGTCTGGACCGAAGAGTCTCTACCACGCCACCAGGATGACGCAGAACCCTGCAGACCAGGACAGAATAGGCAGAGGTCTGAGACACTTAGAACCTTACGGCAGAGCTGCACTTTGACCCCGTGAAATTCCAGGAAAACACTTTTAGTTTCATCCTTGCCCTTGGAAGCACGGCCCCTCATTTTGAAAGTGAAAATCCTTTCAGAGCCAATACTGAGAGCCAGCTCAGACTTTCGGGGAGGTGTGACTCACGGACAGAGACCCACATTACTGTGCACCTGTCCTATCCCGGGGGTGGGCAAGGGAGAGGAGAAAGGATACGAAGATGTAGTCGTCCATGTATCTCTTCTTCAGGTTCTCGACAATGGAGCTCTCTGTGATCTTGGAGAGTAATACCATGTCGTCCACGCCACTCTGCTTGACATCGTGACTCTGCCAGTGGTACCGAAAGGCACCTTTGCTGCCCTGGAGACAGAAGGCACAAAGTGGGTCAGGGTAGTTAATGTTCTCCTGGAGTTTTCTAACTCTCTCTCTCTCTCTCTCTCTCTCTCTCTCTCTCTCTCTCTCTCTCTCTCTCTCCAATAGACATATTTTCCCAAATAAAATGTATCATAAAGCAACAGCAAAGATTTTGAGTTCCAGCCTTGCCACCTGTAGAGATGTGGGGAAAAGTCACCCTGGTCCAATATACTGTGGAAATAGTACGTTTTGTTTATTTGATAAATAATAATAATAATAATAATAATAATAATAATAATAAAAACAAGTACACAAAATGTATGAGGGGTAAGGCACGGGGCTCTTTACCCTGTGGCATGCTGAAGTGGTGACCTTTGAAATAGACCTCAAAACATTTGAATTTTCCAGGGAAACTCGAAGAAGGAAGGAGCTTGTTCTCATGTACACTCATCGAGCAAAGAAACCACAGACAGACAGAAAAAGGAAAGGGGAAAAAACTGGAGTCCATGTGTAGTCCTGACAAGAGACAGGATTCTGGAGTATTGTCGTCTGCTGCCGACACTTCAGGTGGCTTCACAGAGGCGCCATGTACGAGGCTAGCACGATGGACCAAGATTCAGCCCTGCCCCCGCTGTGACAGCTCCTGACTTGGGGGAGTGTCAACGGAGCGCGGAAAACTTATGGACAAAGGTCTGTAGAAAGGCCAGCTGCTCTGACATCGAACCCAGCGCGGGGAAACAAAAGCAGGGGCTTCGCTTTGTTTGTCTGAGGAGGACACAGATGTAAAGCTAAGTCCAAGAGGTTCAGCAGGAAAAGCAATCATCAAAATCCAGCCGAGAGGAAGCCACCGCCAGGAAAAGCATACCACACCAGGGGTTCAAACTGTGGAAAGAGGTTCTAGAAGGTTTACCACCCATGCTGTCTAGAGGAGAGAGACCGTCCATATGATACATTTGGTTTTCTCAGAACCACACACAGCATCAATTCTGCAAAATTACCTCAGATGTCACCCTTCCCCCTTCCTCTGTGGCAAGCAGAGAGCGGAAAGGCTTTGCCCACAGCTTGACTCACAGGGCTCCCGTTGTACGCCCAAGGCCAAGCAGACACAGCCCAGGGTACTCCTCCTCTGGCTCTCTGGCCAGCCCCCCACATACACATGCAAACAGAAGGCTAAAAAAGTTATTTTCCCTTTGAAAAATGTAAACACGATTGAGGATAACAGAAAGCCATCAACAAGTGGTTATTTAATGTCTACAAAGGACAAGGACAGGGGAGACTGGTGCCACAGTATGCATGCTCATGCAGACCCTCAAAGTAACCTGTGTCTTGTGGACAGCCACCAGGTCCACTGGATCCTCCCCATCTCACGCTCCTGCCTGCCGTCTCAGAGACTGATTCCTCCTCCTGATGTCAATCATTCTCCAGGACCATAGGGCTCCCTGCTGAGTCTACTGGGTGTCTTTGTCCCAGAAATTGATATTAAAAGTTGTCACTCTGACCTCAAATTTACTATGCAGCTGAGGATGACCTTGAACTTCCTACCCTCCCTCCTCTACCTCCTGAGTTCTGGGATTATAGGCTTGACCACCATTCCTGGTTTTTGTAGTGCTGGGGATTGAACCCAGGGTCTCCGGCATGCTAGGCAAGCACTCTACCAACCAAGCTACGGCCCCTCATGGCTCCTTTTCCTTACTTTCTAGACTTCTCTCTAGAACATGAACCAAGAATATGGCCGAGTGGTTGCCACAAGTGAACCCAGCTTACAGTGTTTGTTGGATGATATTTGTTTGGTTTGGTTTTTGCTTTACAATGGCACTAATGTGGCACACACTCAGAAAAAAATTATTCTTCCAACTTTGATCTTTTCCCAGACTTGTCAGTAATATGCAAAGGGCCACAGTTCTGAGCAGCCCGCCACCAGAAGAGAGAACAATCCACCTCCTCTCTCCTCCCCGCATGGCCCAGCAGAGCAACACTATGTGGTTAAGCCAAGCTGTATTCGAAGCATTTAAATGTATGAGGTGGTTTTCAACTTATGACTGGTCAGGGTATCATGCCAGTGTAAGTCATGGAGACTGTCCCTGTAGAGCTACGCTCTGTGCAGTGACCGGTCTGTGTATCATTCCCAACAGTCTCACCAGAGAGGGGCTTACTGCCACGCCACCTCCGCTGAGTAAGTGGCAGAGGTAACAAGGGAAGCCGGTTCTCTTTACAGGTCCGCCCAAACAAGGCTTCTTCCCACTGCCTTCCCAGCAGCCCATGGGGCATTTACATCTGTCTATCAAAACTAAAATGACAACAGGATACCAGACTGTATCGAGGGGGAATTCCTCATTAAAAAGACACATCATCGGCGCTGAGAGATGGCCCCGCAGTTAGGAGCACTGGCTGCTCTTGCAAAGGACCTGGGTTCAATTCCCAGCATCCATAGGGTGGCTCACAATCATCTGTAACTCCGGTTCCAGGGGATCTGGCACCCTCTTCCAGTCTCCATAGGCATAGGTACATACTTTGTGCACATACATACATGCAGACAAAAGATTCATATGCATAAAATAAAATGTTTAAATCTTTTTAGAAGAAGGCACTATCTTTGCTAAGAACCGCTTCCTCTCAGGGTCAAAGACTGAAACACTGAGTTGTTTTTAATCAGACAACTTTTCTGTATTTAATTGGTCATGAATCTGTGTGTGTGTGAGTGTGTGAGTGTGTGAGTGTGTGTGTGTGTGTGTGTGTGTGATCCCACGATTGTGCACATAAATGTAATTACTCCCCTTTCTCTTCCCCCTACCTCCCAGGCAACAGTGCATATACGAACTCCATATTCACACCCCCCCTGAACATGGCGAACTCCATATTCACACACCCCCTGAACATGGCGAACTCCATATTCACACCCACTATGAAAAGACAACTACTGGGTACATTAGACCAGACAGAAAAAATGTTTCCAGGAGAGGAAATATCACAAGAAAGACTAGAATACAAGGACACATATGTGTGAAGAAGTCACAGAGGAACCTGTTACTTTGTATACTAACCTAAAAAAATTTAATATATAACAGTGAAATTTTAATTTAAAAATTTTAAGAAATCAGATGAGATCAAGGTAGAGAGACAGAAGGGAGAAGGGGGTGGGGGGAGAAACACCTTGGGGGAGGGGAGGCTGCCCCTACCAGACTGGAGGAGGAGATCCGAAGCCAGCAGGCAGAACCAGGGCTGAGCAGGACATACACAGAGATGATATCGTGCTCAGGGAAGCGTGGACCTCGGGGCGCTCAGCCAACCACCCGCTAGAGTTTAAAGGTGTGTCAGGTATTGTACAGGAGGCAGCTGAGTTTCATGACAAAAGCCATTAGAGTCAGGGAGTGCTGGCCACGGTGGGACACAGTTACCAATTATGGCCCTCTAAGGCGAGGCAGGAGGCTGACAGTGGCCCTAAGACATCAACTAGTGTCTCAGAAGTGTGAGTGAGGATGTGCCGCTGTTCTGGGGAAGTCACCCTGACCATATATGTTCACGGTTCCCCTTTATTCATCCTGCCTACTCCTGGCTGGGCGGCAGCAGCCGGGCACGCTGGATGGGATGCGGGGGCAAAACTTCCCCATGGCGTCACCCTTCGTAGCCTCTAAAGAGAAGGGTGTCACCCTTCCTAGCCTCTAAGAGCTTCCTCTCTGATTCCTTCTGAGTCTCCTTTTGTCCCCTACTCCTTAAAAACAGTAGGCTTTTAAATAAAAAGGGTACAGAGTAAGGCAGAGGGAGAGGGATGGAGGTGGTACTGAGAACTGTAATATCAAAACAGAAGATTTGCTTGTAGCCCTGAAATTATCAGCAGTTATGAGGATTTTCCCATTAGATAGGCCTCAAGCAGAGACTTTCTTGGACCCATGTTAGTTTCTAATGACCATTCAGTTTGGGAAAAAGCAGTTAATTCATACGAAGGTTCTGGAAAGTAAGGCATGTCTATACCTATATAATAGTCTAGTTTAGGAGGATGGACACACCCAGACACAGGGTCTCTCACCAGGAGGAAGGAAGGGCCACAGGGCAGGAGCTTTAGTAGGCGGATGATTCTGACTGGTTGTAAAAGGGGGAGCCTTCCTGGCTCTCTCTCTCTCTCTCTCTCTCTCTCTCTCTCTCTCTCTCTCTCTCTCTCTCTCTCTCT